GCTTGCAGTGTTGAGAGCTTCTTCCAAAACTTGTGATGCATTCCCTGGCTATATCATCATAAAAAACTGCATATTAAACAAAATATGTATTGAGGGTTAAAGACGCCATTTGTTTGCATTTTTTTCCTGTTTTGAAGGCAAGAAATTTTGTTGGGAAAATTTATAGCTTTTTGTTGGGGTGTTATTTGGTTGGAGTTTTTTTGATTAATTGTTTATTGTTGTGTATGGTGGTAAGTTTTTTTGGGAAGAGTTTTTTGGGGGAGCAGTTAAGTAACACTAAAAAAAATTATCCTTTCTTTATCCATATAAATAAAAAACAGAAAACAACTTTCACCAGCCATCCTCCATGAGCTGTTGCTATTTCAACAGGTTACCGTCAGGATACTGAGGTTAATCACTTCAGGTACTTTGATTTAGTCTTCACTGAAAATGTTTTGCAAGGATTGTAAACTTTAGACCTCTGGGCCATAAGTATGGAAATACGGCTTTCTACAGTTATGTAGAAAGGAAAAGCTGGCAAGCTGTTCTGCTGATGCATATGGGTGACTGCAAAGGCCTCATCCTGAAGGCCATAGATTAATCACACTACACAAGCATATGAAGAGACCCTGGAATTCTACAAAAACATGCTCATAAAATAAATAACTCTTGATTTGTAAACTCAACATGCTCACATCAAACTTGTTCTGCTGATTTCAAACTTACAAAGAGATGTAGGAAACTCAAGCTCAAAGGAAACAAGCTCAAAGAAAGATAAGCTGCCTTTCATCAAGCAGATTCTGTTTTCAATATAAAAGCCAATATAATTTCACTGTTGGATATACAGACTTAGAACTATTCTAAAATAATTTATAAATACAATATATATGCCTGGTAGTCAGGCTGCAAAACAAATGGGACATATATAACTAGAAAGGGCTTGTAAAAACAGAAAAACACTGGGAAAAGACCAATCCCAAATTAAGACATTAAAGCATATGAAAGTTAAGAGGCAATCAGAATTACCAGGAATTCACATAGGAAATATTAATCTGTTAGAAAGCTTCAGCTTGCAGAAAAGACAAAAAATTTGTAAAAACCAGGTGACTCAAGAAACTTTCCTTTACAAGTATCTAAGTGATTTGTACTGGGCCCCACTTCAACCATTTCAGACAAAAACAATCCTCTTTATTGTTTCTAAATGAAGTTACATAAAAACTAAAAGCTTTGAACAATATTGATTACATCTTGATGACTTATTTTCTTTAATCAGACTTTTTCTTTCAAATTAGTAGGTTTGGTACTAAAAACATCAAACTATATTTACTATTCTCTTCTAAAACTGGGAGTTATGTAATTTCCCAGTAAAGAGAACAGCTTTCTTCCAGTTTTCAGTTTGGAAAGAAAATGTGCAGAACAGTAAATTAATGACTACAGTGCGTTTTAGAATGGATTCTGAGGAAGAAATTGAATGGCAAAATTAGATAATTACATCCATACATATTACGTTTGACCAAAGACAAATAACTTGATCAAGACCTTAAGAAAAATACAGACAAATTAGCATTATGGATATTTTTCTCCAAAGTTTTTCATGTGGATAGTTCTTCTTAAAAACATTCTCTTTTTAATAATTATTATCAGTCTCAAAAGCATCTGAAATTAGCTGCATAAACCATTGGATGCTGTGGAACAGTAACTAAGAATACACTAAAACCTGTGGAACTTCTACCCCAGAAAGAATTAAGGACAGCAGACTTCATATGTTACTATATTTGAATTCAGGCTGACAGCAGAGCGAGTTTCAGTTTACCTGCTTTCCTACCATAGCAGATAGATGTCTTATATAGTACTTTAAAGAATTCTTACACACCAAGTTGTGAAAGTGAGCAATAGTGCACAACACTTACGAGGTCATGTTTCCATTTACATAGTTTTGGTTCAGGATCCGAGCCCAGCAGCCTGCACCTACTTCATCATTGAAAGTACTGTAATCTTCTGAAGACCATAGTTTCTTCTCAGTTAATATGGCATTTTGCACTGTTTTTGTCCCAGGATAGTGAGCCCTACATAACATTTTAAAAAGAAAGAGTACTTAGTACAAAGAGAAAAGTCAATGTTTGGAAGTACATATAGCAGCAATGATTCATCTCCTTCAAACTGAAAATGAGAAACAAAATATCTTTGGAATACTACAAGTTGAATAGAAGAAAATGGACCAAGGTGGAGTCATAACATTCCAGAGCTTATTGTATTTGCATCAGTAGAAGAATATTTCTTCTGATATATGACAGCATATAAGTAAACTTAGTTTTAAAGATGCTGTACAATTTCCACAGCTTGTTAAAGTAAAGCTCTATCCTGAAACTGAGCTTGAAGATTTTCCTAACTAGTCTGCTAAACAGAGAAAAGACATGTTAACTCATAGGATCTTAAACAAAACCATAAATAATTGTAAAATCAACAATAAGATACAGTACTAGGTATTATTCTAAGAACTTAACTGTTTGAATGTCTTCGGACCTAAAGATGAACTTAGCTAATTTTTTTAATAAACTCAGGTTTCAAAAAAGCATGCTAGTTGGACTACAGAAGTTACAGAGGTGTAAATTGAAAGTAGTTGAAATGAAATGAAAGCTAATTTTCTTTTCAATATCTTCCTTAGTATGAGGAGAGATGCTTTCTCCTAATGGAGACTATTGATTACATTCAATCACAACACTGATTCACTGTGCGAGATTTCTCTGACTGAAATAAAACCTTTTTAAATCACTTGCAAAAAATACTTAGCATATTCACTGAAGACACTAAGTACATACACTAAAATGAAATTATCAGCACTGGAAAGGAAAGCATAAATACTTCCTTTACTACTAGCCTGAAACTTGACAAATTGATACATTCATGGCAGGGACACAAGAAACACCACTTTTTATAGGCTGATTGTTAGGGGGTTTTTTTCCATTCTTTTCCCTCTACTGGACAATGGGCCAGTGTAGTCCTTCATACCTAGCTTCACTAATGGGAATGTAACCGACAGTAGAGATTTTAGCTCCATTCTTCTCTGCTCTACAAATTACTGTATATTTCCCCTTTGGCTTGGAAACATAAGTATTACCTCAGTACCAAGCAAAGGTTTTTGTAGTGGCATAAAGTGCAGAGCTTGCAAAAACAAGGCAGAGTTTTCACACTCCATATCCTGAAAAGGTGTTTAATATTATGTGTTAACAACCCTGCCAAATAAAAGCTGAAATACGTAAGAGATTATTTAATCTACCTGTTAAAACTGAATCAGAGTAGGGATGTAAAACTTACACTTGTAAAGAGTTAAGCAACTACAGCTTACTTAGACAGTAAGTAATCCACACATGATCCAAGATTCCACCTGCAAAAAACTGCCAGGATAGTGTTCATGTTCAGAATGGGGGGAAGGATTGATTGCAGAGGTAAATGACACTGCCTGCCTATCTGTATTTGGAGAAAAGGTCTTCATTTCTACACCTCCTATGGGTCAGATATATAAAGAAGGATGAAAAACACCCCACTTGAAGCAAGGAACTGCCACATTTCAAGCACTTGATTGGGTCAGGCAAGTTTATGGCACCTAGTAATTAAAATTTATAGCTACTGTAAATTGAAAAGTTAATGAGCAAGTCTTACACACATTTCCATTCAGCCATCAAGTCAGTAATCAGTGTCAAATTTAGTCTACTAGCACGATATTAGCATCATATGAAAAAGTCCAGAAGTAGTAAAACAAGTCAGCTGGTTGCATGCTTTCCAAAAACAACTTTCTCATCAAAACAAAATGGAAACTAAGAATCAAGACATTATTGTAACTCAAAGAAGAATCACAGCCCAAATCCACTTCTGGATCACAACCATTTGAGTAACAGACCAGTGAGGTTAGTAATACAAGGCTGTATACAAAGCTGTAAAGCTAAAGCACTTTTTGCATACCAACTACAGTAACCAAAAAACTCCCCAGAATAAACAGGGTTGTCCAAAAAACCTTCAGTTCATCAAAAGTACATTCACAGCCAACAGGAATCTTCAATATAATAGAGGACTCACGATTCAACAAAAGAGTTGAGGCTGTTGCCAGGACAACAGCCATGTGATTTGATGTGGGTTAGTAAGAAAGATTATACAATCAATCCTTTCCTTGCAGGTAAGAGTACAGAGAATTAAAGGTTTGACTGTGTTATAAACGAGATGAAGACAGACTATAAACAAACCACCGAGAAAGAAAAAGAGAGAACCCCCTACCCAATCACATCGACCACTCCATGTAGCTCAGAGTCAATCAGCAAGACAAAGGAAATGGGCTCCCACAGTCTATCGCTGGCTATGATCCTCACCTGCTCCAGACCACGCTTATCCAATGTGTACCTCAACAGCTTGGAAAAAAAAAGGAGAGCAAAGAACAGAGAGAAGGGACAAATAAAAAAAATGTTTTTCAAATTGTTAACACCTTAATTGGGAAAGGCAGCATCTTCTTCAGCACTATTTGAACATAGCTAAAAAAAAAAATTATGTTTCGATTCTTGTTTTTGCAACCTGGACAACTATTACAAGAAACAAAATGTACTAGACTGTCAAGCACAAAGTGCCTTCAAAGAAGGACACCTTCTTCCTCTACCATACCAAACCCTAAAGTACATGAAAACAGGAGACATTAAAAACATTTGGTTGTTCTTTTCTTACAGACACAAAACTACAGATAAATACAAATTGTATCACATTTCATGCAAGATACTCTATTGGCAGATCAGGCACTTAGATGTTACAATGCTGACTGTTAAGCTACAAGGACCACATACGAGGCAAGGACAACTGAATTATAATGTATAAACCTTGCAAAAGCACAGTAAACATTCAATTAAGAACAGGAGTTGATTCCCCCTATTTTTCCTGCTAATCAGCTATTTCAATTTAACAGTGAAACAACAGAATTGAGCTGAGCTCTTCCTAAACACAAACAACGAAAGAAACAAGAAAAACCCCGGACATGTACACACCTTATTACTCAACTGTGTTGTATGTCAAGCTTTAAAATTGCAACTACTTCACACTTCCCTAGAGACATTTTAAGACCTTGAAAGTCAACAAAACAAATCTAAAATGCCATGTAACACCAAATCTGATGATGTACTAATGACGCAGAGGTCCCCTAAACAGCATTTGCTGTACTTGTAAATTCATGTAACATCAAATGCCCAAGTATCTTCAAATAATTCTGTATATTTCTACCAGATACAATCTTCTCTTACACTAGGGCACACTATCTGCAGAAAGAAGTGCTGCAATATTTTTTTTTCACAGATCAGAATACGAACTAGGTTATGTGCAGTCTGAGCAGCCTGAAACATCAAGATTTCCTCCCCCAAAGTTTTAATAACTTCAGCTGAACACAATGTTACTACTAATAACATTACCAACAGTATACTTATGTGTTGTACTTTTCATTACATCTTGCTTTAGAATAAGGCAGTATTTGGTTTTCAGACTTATACATAAAAAGGCTAATCTATTAAGCAATTAGGGAAGGTTCCTGATGACTAGAGACAAAGAGTTTTAATGTCCACCTTCAAGAAGAAGGATCTGGAAAACTACAGTGCCATCAATCTAGCCACAGCCTCCAGGAAGGTCACAGAGCAAGTCTTCCTGGAAGCCATGTCAAAGCACTAGAAGGGTAGGAGGACAATTGGGAACAGCAGCATGGATTTACCAAGGGCAAATCATGTCTGACAAGGATGTTTGCTTCCTACAACAAGATGATCACCTGTGTGGGCAAAGTGAAATCAGTGGATGCCATACACCTTCCAACTAGGTAGATAGAAAAGTGCAGTCAGGGAGCAGATTACTGGCTTATATTAGGAACAATCCCATTTGATGTCTTTAACAAAATTCTGGAAGTTTACATTTTGCTTTGCTTGCAGACACAGCTTTTGCTTTTTCTGTTAAGCTGTCTAACTTCACTCATGAATTCTCACTTCCAGCCTTCTGATTCTCCCCACATCCCATTTACCTTAAAATTTACCTTAGATATCCATCAGACTACAAATGGTATTTTAGGCAGGGCTAAAGCTCCACAGGGAGCAATGGTATCAAGGTAAAAATTACCTGATGCAAAAAAAAAAAAAAAACAACCACAACAACAACAACAACCAACAACAACAACAACAAAAAGGAAAACTGAAAATTAAAGGAAACAGAAAAGAGAAGGAAAGGGCAGTTACTTTTTGTGGATGGATGCCAAAGCAATCACTTCAATTCTGTTGATAATTTCTAAATAAGACAATATAGAAATTTAAACCCAGGTCTCCATTCCACACTAAAAAGAACTAAGAAAAAGTCACTGAGAGGTTATACCTGGAAAGAGATTACAGAAGAATATACAGAAAAGGATTTCTGAGGAAAGAATTTAAGGCTATTTAGGAAAACAGACTGAATAGCAGATTTTGCAAACAACTAGACATGGTTATCTAAGAGACATACAGATACAGCTGACTTCTAGCAACTTCATGAACCTTAGCATTTGAAGGACAGATGCCTAAATATTATTATCTTTCACTAGGTCAGCAAGAACTCTGATAGCTGGTATCTTAAAATCAGCACTGGCTCAGAAACATGGTGCTCTTGCTTTGTACTACCCTTAGTTTCTTGACAGATAACACCACTGCACAGGAAAACCTAACTGTTCCTTTTCTGTGATCAGCAGTGGCAGGGGGAGTTGGGGAAAAATCTCTGTGACATTCAAGAAAAACCTCTTACAAAAAGAACTTTCATCTTAAAGAACAACTAAAACACATCTGTGGTTCTAAAGGCACAAGCAAAAACAGGTACTCCTAGCCTTGATTCTGTCAAGCTCTTAAAGAAATAAGAACCATACACACAATGCATTCATTCTGCAAGTTGTATTGGCATGGAAATCATTAGTAAAACATTTCCTAATGCACTATAACTACCTGAGGTGCAAGTCTTGCCTAACCTGGGAAAGTTCTAAATTTTTAAAACAAAGGAGTTACTCAATGCTGACACTATAATTTGTATTTCTCTGGCAGCCACTTCCAGGTGATCCGTGTTTACAAGCTCAACACATATGAAAGTAGTTTCTTTATAAAATCCCTGCTTAACTGACTATAACCCTTGAATCATGCATTAATTTAAACAAAGATGAGCATATCGCACTTCCTTACATACAGAGGATAACTGGTACACTAGTGACCACAAAAATGTTTTTATCACAGTAAGGTTAACAACATGGATAAGTTAACAAATGTAACACAAGTGAGCAATTTATACAGATATAGCTCATTTCCACTTGGGACATGTTGTAAGTTTTAAAAAACTATTTATAGTTTTGAGAAACCAGAGATTACAAAGAAAGCAGGAGCAGCAGAATAAGTATCAAGCCAGTTGACAGAAGCAAAGTAGTAAGAAACTGTATTATGGAACAAGAGTGAAGGCAAACAATCGAGTTGGTATTTGCCAAAACTGCAACAGTGGGCATTCCTAGCTGCCAAAATTGAGATAGGTTGTATTAGTTTACAAAGTTTGGATGTTTGTTTTTACTTCTATTTTACTGTCTCTGTGTGCACTTTTAATACTATCTGTTATCAGATATAAGCAACAAAACAGAAAATTCTAGATTTAAGATATGACCAGAAAAATCACAAACATGTACCAGGGAATACCACAAGCACAGGAAGTCCCAGGGTGATAAGTTCCACTGTGAAAGTTCAAGTTTACCTGAAATTAAAACCAATTGAAGACCAAGAACTCAGTCTGAAGTTTTTCTGGCTTTGAAGATGCACATGCAGGTTAGTTAGAAGTTTCCTGTCATTCACTATTGCTAAGAAGCCTAAAACACAGTTCCTAAATGGATACTTGAAAGAAATAATGGAAGAGTGGTAAGGTCAGCTTACACATGCACTAAACTGAAAGAGAAGAAGACAAGAAAGAATAATCCATCACCACTGTACATGATGATGAAAAAAATGGGAACGGCTAGGAAGTATGAAGTAAGAATATATGACTCTTGAAAATGGAGATGAAAACTTACTTAAAGAGAGGAAGCAATAAGCCATGTTTAAAATGCCTCCCTTCTCCCACACTTACCCGACTACCTCAATAGCATCATTAAGATAGGGATCAACTATCATCTCCTTTGAAACGTTCCAATCTCCATCCGCAGCGATGATGCCAATGTTCATTAGACCCAGTCTGTCCAAAGAATGTCGAAGCACCTTAGTAACAGACAACACCACTTAAAGTACAGCCTTCATCAGTAAGGCAACATGAAAATTTAAGACTGAAAACAATTTAAGAACTGTAGGAGTCATCAGTGAAAGCATTTATCTTCAGACCAAGATGGATAAGATAAGTTCTCACTTCTCAAATGACAACTAAGACGAAGTTAATGGTAAGTATTTTTAAAGCTGAAGGGTTATCTATGATATTCAGACAGTCATTACACAAAAAGGGGCTTCTCATCACTTGGATTACTTTTGACACCCCATGTGCATACAAATACTCCACTTGGACACTCTCAACATACTGACTCCATGCATGCATGCAATTCATTACACGTAAGTAATGGATTTATCATAAAGTCAGTCATATTAAGTTGATCTAAAAATAACAACTGGCTGGATGTGGCAGTGGACATACCTCCACAAGTGAAAAAAGTGAAAGTTAACCTGATCCCCAAAAAAGTATATTGAGAAAATGGGGACTGAAGTTTTAAAACAGAAAAGACCTTGTAACCATGCAGTTCTCTATAGGAACAGAAATCTTTGCCTAACACCTGTCCTGTTCAAGTGAAGAGCACCTAAACACTCTTCTCACAGCCCATTTTATTGAAGAAAAAAAAGAAAGATTTTTCCAACCACTCAAAGATCAATAAGTATGAATCCTTAAATAATTTCTCATAATAGCCCTCTAGCAATAGAAGAAGAAGAATAGGGAGAATCTCCATTTTTCATATAGTCAACTAAGGACAGAAATAAAAGTCCAAGTGTTGATGACAATAAAAGCCTAGATCTAAAGGACATAAAACTTACTAAGAAGAAGAGAAGTAGCAACGAAGTTCTGTTCAGCTGTTTGAAGCCTTTGAAACACAAAGTTTACCAGAAGAAAAATCATAAAGCTAGAAGGTCGCCACAATTTAAAGCTTTCTAGATAGCTAGACACTGGGAAATATTGCCTAACCATAGAGATAATTCAGAAGAACAAAATGACTGGAACAGTTGCAGAACTTCCAAGCTGAAAGATAAGTACTAAGGACATAGAACTGCAGACACTCAAAATGCATTCCACAATGACATATGCAGAACAGTTCCCCCACACAAAGTACTCATGTTTATGTACAGATACTCCTTAAATTCTAGCATTAAAATGGCAGTATTTAAAAATATAATTGGAGGAACAGGATCTTCTTGAACAAGAATTTATAAGCATTAGAATCCTCATTTTTTTTTTCTACTTAATAAGAAACATAACTAATGCCTTAGTGGATGAACTAACTAAAATAACTTCTTACAATTAAGATAAATACATAACAGATAAGCTCTTAGTTAACAGACATTACAGAAAACGTTTGATGTGCAGCAGCACACTTCAGTAAATTGACCTTTTTCAAAATGGCAAATTGCAAATAGAATTATCATGCTGATTAGAGAATAGGTGACATGTGACACTAAAAGAATGAATGGTAAAACAGGTGTTAAAAAAACCCCAACTTTTATCAGTTAACATACAGTGAAGAACAGGCCAAAATTTTTCAGTAAATATTTGGGTGATTTTAAGAATAAAGGTTAAACTAAATATTAAGCTCTACAAGCCAAAAGCTCAATTCAACAGCATTCCAAATGAATGCTGCACCTAGACTTGACAGCTTGTTCTCCACATTCCTTCTCCCCACACTAGGAAGCCAAGACAGTGGAAAAAGCCTCCAGGTGACATGACACAGAGTTGGGATCGTTCAGCCTGGAAAAGAGACTTCAGGGCAACCTAACTGCAGCCTCCAGTACCTGAAGGGAGCCTACAGGAAAGATGGAGAGGGACTTTTCTACTAGAGCATGTAGTGATAGAACAAGGGGGAATGGCTTCAAACTGAAAGAGGGTAAGTTTAGATCAGTATAAGGAATAAATTCTTTAAGTGTGGTGAGGCACTGGAACGGGTTTCCCAGAGAAATGGTGCATCGTTTCTGGAAGCGTTCAAGGCCAGGCTGGAAGGAGTTTTGAGCAACATGGTCTAGTGCAAGGTGTCCCTCCCCATGGCAGGGGCGTCGGAACCAGATGATCTTTAAGGTCCTTTCCAAGTCAAGCCATTCTATAAGTCTTATCTGCTTTTAAGAAGTAACTCTATTGCTTCTTAGCCTCGAAGCAACACCAAGGAAAGGAAGAAACCAGAAGCTTGTACTTAAGATTTCACTGCAAGATAATGTAACAAACAGAAGAGAGTTTTCAAAGCATGGCAGGGGGTAGCGGGGGCATTCAGCAGTGAGAAATATTAGAGATTCGAGGCTGGTTATGTGAAATATTGTGTTCCTCCAACCTTTTAGAACAAAAGGTACTGAATTTTGCACAGCTAAAAACACAGAGCATTTACTATGTTTTCCATAAAATAAGAACCTGGAGGTTTATAGCAATATTTAAGGTACTATAACCTCAGAACTTTGCTACAGAATTTTAAGTAATTCTAGATCTTGGACTTCTAGCTATATCCAAGCCAGTATGAAGATGATACAAATTTGTATGATTTCAGACACATTGACTGAAGTGTCCATTAAAATGTGAAAGTCTGACTTGCTTTACAACCTAGAGATCTGATCAGTTTAGCATTCCATGCGTGCAACTACAAGAAACAGAGTTCAGTAAGTGAAGTAGTTGCAGAATTAGGGTCTCTTTACTAGGCAAATTCAGAAAAGCTAATTGTTTGCACATGATAAGACAAGCATTTCACTTTACAAAAATAAGAAAAAAACACATACCTTAATGTATTTGCTACTAAATGCCCTTTCATTCCATATCTATAAAGGAAAAGTAAAAATCCATTTAGAAAAATCAGGATATGTTAATGCATAATGGAAGATTTTATTTATATATATGTGAGATTATACAATCCATTAATCAACTCCATGTTTTCGGTGTGCTAGAGGAAAGTGTTCTGGTTATCAGAGTTAAAAGGTTATCAGCTTTTCAGGGGAAAATTCTGTATGGAAGTTCATAATAGCTGGGTTTTTATCTTTCTGTAAGATCTCCTGATTGCCTTCTTGCTGAAAAGAGTGCTAGAGCTGCTTGAGCTCTACAATGGTAGCAGTGTTACACATGACTCTGTTACCAACTGGTCTACAGTTTGTTAGGAATCATCAAGAAACACACTGTGGCTTCAAAGTGTGACCTAATGAATGGGCCCTGTTGCAATACAATGACATCGGAGAGTAAGAATAAGTCACATATTGAACAATTCAATGAAGATTACAGCTCTTTCTAATTTACACAGGACTACATCCAAACTCAAACACAAAAGATATCTAGCATAGTTTAAGTAAACAGACACAAAATGAGTTCATTTCTAAATTTTCCAACTTTTATGGAAAGAGTGTTTAAGCTAAACATGGCTCAAAATTCAAAAGCAGGAATACATTTTTGAATTTTGAATTTTGGAAAGGAAAGGAATCCTTTCTAGCAAATCTCCTAGCCTATAAAATGTATAAGCAGAAACCTTGTTTCTTTTGTTGTTGTTTTTTAACCGCAACCTGAACATCGACTCACATTCACCAGTAAAGGTGAAAGTATCCCCCATAGGATTAGATTACACAACCATGTACAAGCAGTTTCCTGCAGATGGGATAAGCCCCACTGATTTTGGTATTTCCAGATCTTTCAATAAATGCTAACATGTGACTTTTGAAATGAGCCAGTAAAAAAGTTACTTACTGAAAGGCTCATCTCATCATAAAGTAAAGAGCAATATAGAACAAGTGCTATAAACAAAGAGAATGGTAAAGGCTAACAATGAAGAATCATAACAGCATTAAAATTGTTCTGACGGTTTCTGAGCCTTCACAGACCTCACTGATTTCATGTATTTCAGGTTATACCCACAAAGAAATTGAATAATATGCAATGTCACCACACTTCCTATAGAAGTAGAAACTCCATTTTCTTAGAAGGAAAGAATTCTGAAGGCCAAGTACCATGAAGCAACAAAACAGAAGTCGAGCATTACTCAAATATATGAAGCGCAGAACTTACCTTCTAGTCCAAGAGCACAGGACAGAGAAAAAAGTAACAGTAGTTTGTTCTCCCTGTCTCCACAACTGAATTGCTGAAGCATCACTGTGTTACCCACAGTGCAAGACTGACCCAGCTGAAATAAGTGAGGAACATCAAGGGGGATGCACTCCAGAGGACATATACATGAGGTACACCTTCCCACATTACAGCAGAAAGGTCAGATCTCTTTTGAGGGATGGGAACAGTTTTAGAAGCTTTGTTCTGGACTGCTGAAGTGATTTTCAGCTTTTCTGCTTTTAAACTATCTCATATAAAAACACTTCAAAGTCCAAAACAAGTGTTCAGTAAGTACAGGACTGATTTTAGAGGAATCTTAGCCACACACTTTCTTGGTCAAATAATGAACTCGAAAAGTGTTTTTCCAGATTGTCTGCTTCTCCTTCTCATTTCCAAATTATGACATTTTTTCCTCAAACATTCATTTACTATCTTCCATATATTGCACTGTAGCACAATATAGCAGTTACAATGTACTGTAAGATATGCATCTTTAAGTACTATAAATAATGCAGGAAAAAATGGAAGAAGTTGTAGAGGATTGCTCTTCTGCAAAATAACAACCATATTTTATGCTAAGAAGTCATGTTAGCTGACTTCCACAAACTGTCTTAACTAATGCTTTTCATTAGCTGGTAACTGCTGAAACCCAAGCAGAAAAAGCAAGGGACAAAAGGAAAAGATTTCAGAACATTCAGATTCTCTGGCAACTTTGTTCTAGAATTGGGAAGGTCGGAGCCATTTGACACTGGTTCTGCTTTAACAGCCATCACTGCAGAAAGACTGTAAACTAACATAACTTCTGCCTTTCCCTGGAAACAGAACAAGATAAAACTGCAATTTAAAAAAAAAAAATTCTCTTTCCATCCTCCTCCTCCAATAATCAACAAATAGAGAGACAAGACCAAGATCTTAGGAATGAAGATAGATAAAATATACAGATTTTGCATTACTGACCCCAATATAATCAATATCCAAATCGTGATACTGTTTTGCTCCTAATATCCAAGAAACAATATAGTAAGCAGTGACATCTGGATAGTCATAGGGCCAGTTTTCACCCTTCCCTATCCATCTTGGAAATGTCCAAGGTAATCCTGGAAAGAGAAGAAAAACAAATTAATAAGGTAAGTGGTTGGTCTACATTACTCAGAAAGTTTCAATAGCAAGGTGTAATTTACCTAAAATGAAGAAGCAGACATGCACTTCAAATTCACTTAGTTCCAGTGAAGAATTGAGACATAACTTATTTAATGAATGAAACATAACTTATTTAAGTGGAGAGTATGCTCTAATATCTGTTTGGGTTTTTTTGAGCTAGAAAGCCTTCATTACTAAAGAACAACTAGACTGACTACATAAAATCCTTCAATTGTATGGTATTAGCCCTAATAGGTTTAAAAATCTGAAGATTTTAGGATAAAAATTTACAAAGTTAAAGACAAGGAATCAATACTGAACATAAAAAGTTGTTAATCTCCTGAATATGAATTTCAGAAGTGATGATCAGATCATAATAGAAGAAGGAAGATTAGGATCATGAAAAAAAATTTCGAAGTCTCAGCTGTTTAGTAGATCTTGTAGTAAGGAAGAAAAAAAAATTAACCTAACCAGATGCTGCTAAGTTTTCAGCTGACTTGTACAAGATACCATAGGCTAATTTAAAGGTAAACCCTCCTTCCTTTGTTGAGAGCTTGATCTGAGGGAAGAGGGTTGTTATCAATAGTCACAATTAGTCATAGATAGTAAGCTTAACAGAACCTGACCGACAAATCCTGCACCAAGTCATGCTCTGTGGCTGGATATGGTAAAGCCTGACCCCTGGAAGACCGGGGCATTAGACACCTTTTAACTGACACATTTCTTACCTGTTCTTACATTGTTTTGTGTGAAATACATTTTGTATTTTGAAAATACAATCTAGGGTTCCACACCTGTGTTGTCACAGTACATACACAACTCACGATCAAAACAGGAAGACAAGAAGCTCCTCTTACAACTCAACTACATACGTAACACAAAGCAGCAGACCAGAACCACTAAAGTGGGGAGGGGGTGATCAGTTTGTAATAAGAACATATAATTGAATGAAGTGTGTATAAGATTTACAGATTTATACTTCTAATAACTTTATTTTATCCCTCCCAATTTTTCTACTCTATTATTCAGAAATTCACCTCTCACGATAAATCATCCATGTTCATTGCTGTGATACATTCTAAGCATTAATGTTACTTGATACAAGCAAATTATTAGACATTTTTGCCCTATGCTTCTTGTTACAGTAGTGCAACATAAGGATATTGTGCTACTGTAACAAAGTGAAACATGGTAAGTAAGTGAAGCATCAAGGCAAGCTTAATAAATTAGAGATTCCACTTTGCTGCAACATCAAAATATCTGCCCATTAAAATGATTATGTTAATTAAGTGTGAGAGATAGGTAATTTAGTCAGAGGAATAAAAAAGCATTTAAATCTTAAAGCTTGAAGCAATTTACCAATCAGTTTAATGTCGGGGTTCCTCTTTTTAGCTTCTTTCATCAGCCACCATTCATAGCCCCGGAAGTAGTTCTCATCATTTTCATAGTGCATATGGGAGGGTTCAGTACCATCTAGGAAGGAAAGAGACAGGTAGCTCACAATTATCCTCTGTGTCATAAGCTGTTACACATGGCAAAGTTTGCTGTATTGCTCACTGCCATAGTATGCAAGTACATATCTCCGACATGGTTCACAAGTTCTTTGGTATGTATTTCAGAGCAAAATGAAGAGTGGGAGGGAACATGCAAGACTTGCCACCCTCTGTTATTAGCATATTAACTTAGCATAAATTTAATATTTTTGATTTTTAAGGGACTCTGCCTGCTTTTAACATCAGATGTGATTAAAAAAAATTAAACAAGCGGATTATTTCTAAACCAAAAAAACAAACAAAAGAAGGTTATAGTTTGTTTATTCTGGGCAAGGTAGGTCCAGGGAGAAAAAAGAAAGGAACTACAATGAGATGTTTCAATCATAGGAAATAGGGAGTTTTTATTTTTACAGTAAAAGATGCAGTGCAGTTTATAATTTCCATGGTGTTCAGTGACTGCAGGAAGAGTTTTTGGAATTGAACACCATATACTGATTTTCCTCAGGCAAAGGTAAACAAACTAGAAAGGTGCAAAAGAATCAGTGTTGCAAGGGAAGCCATCATACACGAAAGTCAAGTTATAACTTGTGTACACAACTGCAACAATTATTTATGCTAAAATATATGCAGAGACCTCTTTTAATGAGACTTTTTTTCTAATGAAGCCTGCTTAAACAGGACATTTCATTACAAAAAATAGGATTGATATTTTTACCTTAGTAACACAGAATAATTAAATTCCAAATTTCGACTTCTGCCAGAAGACATCTCCTTTCTCCTCTCACCAGCAACTCATTAACAAATACTGAGCTTTTAAATCCAGTATAGCACTTTTCATCATGTTAATTTTTGTAAAAGAAAGTAAACCAAAGAACAAAAAACAGTATCTAATTATACAAACACAGGCATTACAAATAAATATATATATAATGTCACAAAACCAGATTCTGTACTTTCTGTTTATCAGCTGTGTCTGGTTAAAGTCTGTTCTTGATGTGGCCAGACTTACTTTGGGGAAAGATAAAATAAAGGAAAAGAGAAGAAAGATAAGAACTGTCATCACTGCTTCTCAGCTTCTGATTACAAGCAGTTACTAAACAGTTTCTCTTATATGTGAATGTAGTCGGCTAGGCAAATTTCACCAAGACATTTTCATTTGCAATTCTGCTCAGGCAAAAAAAAAGAAAAAAAATAGTAGCGACCGTCAGCCAATGCCACTCCAGTGAAATGTAGCAGCTCATTAAACCAAAGAAATGTCATTGCTTCTGACCAGCTGTCTTTGCATTTTCATGCTTCTAAGTATTGCAAAACTGGTGTTTGAGAAATGTGCTGCAATGCAGAAAGCTACTAGAGGGGGAAAAAAAAAAAAGAACTCATTTGCTCTAGAATGCAACCCATTAACCATATGATAGTGAGAACTGTCTCCATAAGGTTAGTATAAATCTCTCTTTACAAGTTAGCAGATACATTGGTTTTTTGCAACTACAGTACAACTACAGACTGCATTTCCATGTCTCAGCTAAACTGATGTGTGCAGGACATGTTACTTACAGCAACACTGAAACAAGAAGTTAAACGCTGCTCACGCAAAATCCATACCTGTTGACTGCCCATCACCTCCAATCTCTACTTTGAGAATATGTAAAGAAGCACCAAAATTAGGCTAGAAAAAAAGAGAGACAAAACCAAAGAGAATCCTGCTGTTAAGAAGAATGTGTTAAGTAAGGATACAATTTTGAGTATGCTAAAAATTTTTTTTTAAACACCTATTATAAATGTAATGAGAGATACACAGAGTTCTGCTTCAAAAGGAAACCGAGCAGTGTAAATAGTACACTGGTCTTTAACAGGTTTCATTGACTCTTGCACTGTTAACAACACACCTCCACAACTGTGCAGATTTTAAATTGGTTATGCTCAAGCAAATACTGAACCCCTCTTCAAGTAGGATGTGGGCTACATGAGGAACACAACAGTATTTCAGTGTTATTAGAAGTTAAATTTGTTTCCTTTTAAAATCAAATTATTGAAGTTAATGTCTCTGTAAATAATTTATTCTTTGGTATAAAGGGTTACCCTGCTTATGTGACAGAACATACATACAGGTCAGAAATAATCTGCTAACCAGATGCAGAAAGGCAAGTGAGGGGAAAAAACCCACCACAATGGAAAACCCACCTAATCCATTATCCCCCTCCCCTGGCATCTGACTGGTGGAAACAAATATAAAATTCAAGCTCATATAGGTGACCCTACTCCTAGTATGTTCTTCCAGCCATTAGTGGCTTAAGAGTTGCTCAAGCCAGAAGTTATGATTAATCATTATTTTAATAACCACTGGCCTCCTACACGGAATTACCCAAATATAATTCTGGTATCTAAAAGAATGTTGTAAGACATCACAACGCATTTTGATTAAAAAAATAAGTTGCATAGACAATAGTTTGTTTGGCTTACAAGTTTTGGATTTTTTTACTTGCTTTGAAATAAAAAGTACGTTTTTCCAATTTACCGTTTCTCTTCCCGAGATTTCTGATTTTAAACTTCCAATACTTTTGTTCTCCCATCCCCATCACAAAAGTTGACTGACATTAAAAGGCAAGGAGAATAAGGAAAGGTATACTCCCTCCACAGTATAACAGCTTAAGAGGCTTTGGTGAAAGAACATGTCAAAAATTCTTTGAAAATCATAATCTCTCAACTAGATTTTCTTTTATCACGTGCCTATTGATTCCTTCAGAAAACTTGTATTAGTAACACACAGCTTCAGTCTCCAAAAAACATAGGGTTTGATTGCTCAGTCACACATTATGCCTTACTCTACACTTTAATTCTTTAAACTACGCAGTAAATTATTCCCCTCCAGCCATCTGGATTGCATTACTTGAAAGTGACATGACATCCTCTTCCAGCAGAGTAACTTACAGTGCCAAAGGCAAAACAAGCTATTAATGTCCAGTGCAATAATCTTGCCTTATAATAAGTTGGGGAACTGCACAGGTTACACTTGCTAACTAAGGCAGCTTACAAACCAATAATATTTACACACCTTCTAGAGTAACTGCAGTTATATTTGAGACTAGTTTGGAATAGATAAGCTACTAAAATCATGCAGGCTGCAGAGTCATTTTCATGTTACGTTAATCTATCTGTATGTACTCCAAAAAAATCAAAACTGCCTCAAAGACCCACTTACTGTCATCACTAAGAACAGCTAAAATCCTCATTTTAGCCATAAAAATGATTTCTCATGGATGATTTCCCATGGATGATCAATGTATGTTTAATACATTTTTGAAAATGTATTTTTAAAACATATTTTGAAAACATGAAAGGAATTTTCATAGTAATTTGAACAAACAGACTCTTGAACAAAATCCTGGTTGTCAAAAACAACAGCTAAAATTTAAGGTTCTGGTAACAATCAACATTAAAGTAGATTCTTTATAAGAAAGGATATTGTCTAATTTCAGGTAGCATTAAATATGCTATAGTTGGGGTTCTAACATTACACAATCACAAATTCTGCATGAAATTAAACATTACTGTAGCAGTGAAACCAACTTTACCCTGAACAGGTAATCTAAAATCTGGGAGCGGTAAGGTTCTTGGTAGTTCACCAGAAGTCTAGACGTGGCCTAAAATGGAAAGAAAACATGAAAATATGAAAACCCAACTCAAATGCTTAAGTATGTCCCAGTTTTTCAGTCTAGGACTTTCACATGGCTAACAAACCTACAAAAATAATTATAGCACCAGGAACTCAGCTAAGCCCCTACACAAACGTGTTTCTAACCCTTCAACCGTGCATTTCTGGCTTTGCAGATTGCAATTGCCTTGTACTCTGGTTACCTGCAATTCACTGCAAAGAGAGTCCAGAGAACAGAGAAACAGAGACCACACAGGCTTATGGCACGAAAACACAGCTCCCTCCCGGTATCATTTCTCCCTGCTTCGGTTCACCGTATATCAAAGGCAACAGGAGGCACAGAGGCAGAAGGGCAAGGAAAGCATCCCAGCAGGTCCATGAGTGAGTAAAAACTCCAGGGATTTCACGGCTCTGCTGACTGGACCACAGGAGAGACGACGACCGGCCGTTGGCTCTTCCAGCATTTTAAGACGCGGAGACGAGGAGCTACGAAGACCCTCTACAGAAAAGCCCATCCTGGCTTAGCTCTCCTCTACTGGCACCCGGGACACGGCTGCCCCTCGGCACCCCAAAAAGCCACTGCCAACCCTAAAAAAAACTGGAGGGCTGGGGCGAAGCGGAGCCCGACTCCAGCTCTCCTCGCAGGCAGGACCACTGCCCGCACCGCTCCCCTCAGCCCTCCTCCTCCGAGCCCCATCACGTCGCGTCTGTGTCCTCACATCCCCCAGCCCTCACGGCTCCCCTCCAGAACCCCCCCCTCCCCGGCCCAGGCCCCGCCGAAGCCACCACACATTCCCATGGGACGGAACGTCCAGCCCCTGTCCCCTGTGGCCCCGAGGAGGGCACTAGCGCTGCCAGCACCGCAGCCCCGGGGGTGCCGCTCACCCCGCCGCCGCTCACAGCCCCGATCCCGTCGAATTGCCTGCCCAGCCCGTCCGCATCGTCCAGCACGTAGGTGGCCGTCAGCAGCGGAGCGGCACCGACCCTGGGGGGTCCCAGGCCGCAGCTGCAGCCGAGCAGGATCGCACCCCACAGCAGAACCACGTTCCCCATCCCAGTCCCAATCCCGACTCAGCTCCGCTCCCGCCCCGTTCCTGCAGCGCCTCGGCACTGCCCGGCAACGCGCGTCACGTGACCACACCGCCTGGCACCACCACGGGGCGGGGCGTCAGCTCCCGCGCCGCCATCTTGCTCCAGGGAAAAGCGGAGGGAGGGGAAGACGCTTCAGCTTTTACGGGCAACCCCTCCCCAGCTGAAGTCAACAGTCACCATTTTGACAAAGGGCAAGGCTGGAGAGGCGCGCACCGCCACGCTGGAACTGGCCTTGAGCGGCGAGTGAAGCTATCGCGGAGCCATCTTGGGCGTGGGAAAGCCGATGGCTGTGAGGCGAGGAGGGGTTTATGTCGGAGCATACCGGGAATTGCGTTCAGTCTGGAGTGACCGGGTGCGGGCGGGGCAGAGCTCAGCTGACCCTGTTTTACGGAGCCTCTGACCCTCATTTTCGGGGCTTCTAACAGGGCTAGGTACTTGTCTTGGGTGAGGAATGGTCTTTTCCAGTGCCACTCTCATTCCTAGGCCCTCGCCAGCGCCTCGGAGCCAGTTTCCTGGTTCTGCCCTGCTCTCAGGCTGCCACCAAATCCTTTGAAGAGTCGGCACAAGTCGGCGCTTTGAAGGAGCACATTCCAGCGCGCTGTGAGAAGGACCTTTGATCGCCGTGGGGGAAGCGGCAGGGAGCGGCCCTGGGCCCGCGCCAGTCCCGCAGAGGCGCGGCCCGGCTGCCCTTCCCGGGGAATCCCGGTTGGCCTCAGCTGCGTCAACACGACCCCAGAGAGCGATCCTGAAAGTGGAGTTTAACATATAAGGGGCTGAAGGAGCCTTTCTGTTTTACGCCTTCAGGGGCGCGCTGTGGGGCAGCCGCAGCAAAGCGTGAGCAGCTGAGCTGGTGCCACACGCCCAAAGTTTCCGTGGGGATAGCCAGAGTGGTCCCTCAGACTCTGGCATACAAGCATTCGGCTCAGAGGAAAGTATTCAGGAGCTCGACAATCAGCTTGATTGTCCTATAAAATTCATAATGGGGAGCTCTCAGTGTGCTGACAGTGTGTTACAGAGGAGATGCTTCGTGTGCCCAAAGGAGGAATGAGGCACCAGAAGGTGCCGTTGCTGATGTCCTGCGGACGTTGTGGAAAAGCCCAGGTTTTGCACGTTTCTAGCCATAAAGAATGCTCTTACTCGAGCCTCTGCGGCTCTTGTCATTTAGGGATCTAATGTCTCAGTGATGACATTACCTGGCTGACGTTTCCTGTTTATTTCTTTTTAAATAACAATACCAAGCACTCACAAAACATTTTGTACTTTACAGCATTATCAAGCATTAACTAATGAACCTGCTCACACCCAAATGAGCTATACAATATCATTATTACATGTAGAAGGACAGAGTGACTCCTCAGGGCTACAGTGAGTCAGTGGCAGAGGTAGAATTGTGCTCATGGTCCTACTTAACATTCATTCCAGCAGACTGTACAGCTTTGCACACCTGGAAGGTTTGCAAAACCATCATAAATTATTAGTTGGTTAATTTTGATAGTTTCTTAAATAAATGCATCAATTTATTCCACACAGAAAGCTTCAGCTATGAAATTCAGTTTCTTAATCGTTCATAGGACCTTAAAAGTGTCAGTTTTCAAAACTCATATTTGCATCCTATGATGTGGTGAGTGCCTCCCCTTTTCAGGTGGTACAGAAAAACATTCTCAGAATATGTTTTGATGGAAATAAAAGGATGTTTTGGTGTGACTCTGTGAAATTTATTCTGCATTAAGAATCTTGACCTTGCTATGAACCTTCTTTAGGTATTTCTCATGGCCCAAGGACATATGATCTAGACGCTTTGTAAGTCCAAATATATCCAGTAAAATTATTGAGGACTTTTTCATTGCTTCTTTTCTAGATAAGGTAGTTTTCCACTTTTAATGCTTTTCTATTTCAGTTTTTTTTATTGATACTACATTAATCTCAGCCAACACTAAGAACACCTGTGGTTCTAAGATAGCCAGATATCTGAGATACCATGTATGTCCAGATCTCAAAAAAAACCTGGAAAACTGTGCTGCTTACATCAGACATTAAATTGTTGCATATGGACACAGTCAAGAGTTGATTTTTACATATGGCTTTACTTCCAGAACATATAAAAGGCATTTTAAATGCTTGCTTCCTTTGACCTTTCAATTCCACTATCAGTTGTTACAGCAAAGAACTGTAGAAATGTTTCAACTATGTTTCTCTATTTCTAGATATTTCTTTATCAAAGTGTAGGAATCCTCAACAAAACAGCAGAACCAGCACACTGGACACCATTCTTAGTAGGTACCATGTTACCAAAAGGCAGGCAGAAAGTGATAAACTTTGTCTAATGACTTTTCTCTCAGTGAAAATAAAGGTGTGACTGAAATTTATTTTAGAAATTGATCTAACCAAGTGGCCTCCCTTTCACCAAACTGGAGGAGGCTATGATAAGAGTTTGAGAATGTCCACAAGTATGGAATGGTTTAATAATTTAGGCTTCATGTAACAAGCACATCAGTAAAAAGACTGTGGATGAAAAAGAAGGAAACAAATCTCTCCATCCAGTGGTTAAATGTTATAGAGCTGTCTGGTATTGTTATCAAGTCTATATGTCTCTACTTTAGAGGTTTTAAATTTGTTCATCTGTTTCATTTCTCCTTAGCATCTGAATCATCACAGGACAGTTTTTTGTGTTGCCGCACATTTAAAGTGAAATTGTACCCAGTTTCTTAAAGAATTGTATCATTCCAAGCAGAATTTAAGAAAAAATACACACAGTAAATTATTCTGATCACAGAGGGGAAAGAGAACTGTGCTTATGTAACAACCTTCCACCTATTTGAATAGAATTACCTGCTAAAAGAATCACTCCTGTGAAAGCTGTATCCAACCTCAGATTCAGTTTATATAAAAATACATAAATATGCAGCCTGTCACAGTGTATAAAATTCTGTTATCCTTTGTTAACTAGAACTATTCTGAAACTTCCCATAAATTCTGAAAATACTTAATTCTTTTTCCACAAAGTCATAAAGTCATTGTGATGTATTTTTAGCTCTTCTTAAGTGCATTCTTATTTGATTGTGATAAATTTGTAGGGAAAGGAAAGTGAGGTCCTTCAGTCAAAAAAAAGGTGCTATATTTTGAACATATACAAGTAAACACAAATAAAACATGGTATTTTATTTCCGTGGATTGGTTTCTCTGCAGAACATAATGTCTCCTAGCTAATGGATTTAAAATATACTCTGCTCATGTATTAGGTGCCAGGGTTTGGAAGTTGTTAACTCACTTGTCTACCATTGGTTTCTGTGTTGCCATAGTTATTATATTGTCCCCTTGCATTGGCTAGCCAAATGGCCAATCCCCTGCTTGGCCCAGCAGCCCTTATAAGCTGCGGGAAATTTGAATAAAGTTCTTCTTCGCTGCTGGATTCCCTGTGTGGTCTCTGTCTCCTGGCTTAAGTACCTCCGCCGCCTGTCCCTGCCACGAGGGACGGGCGGTGGGGGAGTGATTCCAGCCCTGAAAACCTTCACAGAGTGGCCGGTAGTGACCCCCCAGAAACCCCTCGAACTGCAACAATTAGGCAATATTTTCAATTAAACTTTTTTAAACTCTCTAAAAGTATTCCTAGATGTAGCAAGGTTGGTACCATCCTTTTTGCATATTTATTTGTAATTACGTAATCTTTTTTTCCCCATGGATAAACTTAGATTAACAAGGAATTGGGGAAAAAAAAAAGGAGGCCAAAAAAAATTAAGAAATGTGTGAAACGTGTGACTCATTTTCTAAGAGCAGCTTCCTGTCTTGTATCTGATAAAGCAGAAGCAGACACTTAGACACTTTTCCTCAGAAGCAGACACGGGTAACACTACCAGTGGTACAACAGGGACACTGCTACACGGGGACACATGGCTGCCAAGGTAAGTGTTCAAAATCCAAGAAGTCAGACACACAACTTATATTCTGGAACAGGTTTCAAGCTATCTCTCCCTTAATGTGAGGTTGGCATCATACAATAAAAAGAAGGGACACAAAAGGAGCTGGAAAAGATTTCTGTGGGGGAAGGATTATTTGAATCTCAGCACAACTGAAACATGAGACTAAGGGGCAAATGACAACTAAAGATTGATTTAGGGAAGACATGCCAGCTTGATTTTTGTTTGTTGTAATGATTTTACCATGATCAAAATACCTGGTGCTTGTAAGAGGGAGTTTTCAATATTCTGAGCTGTCCCATCACTGCAAAAAGTGCCTCAGGCCTCACAGGGGGTTCCAGTAGATCTTCTGTTATTGTTCTTTAGTATTTTATGGCACTAACAAAATACTCAGTGATATACATAGATATATATATAGATAGATAGATATAAACAAAGCTTAAAATTAGCAGAAAAATAAGCTCTGGTAAAAATAACTTCTTAGAATACCAAGTATCATGTACATGAAAATATTTTGTAAATCTTTCTTCATGCATAGAGGAAATCTTGATGCACATAATGATATAGCAAAATAATACTTGCCTCCATGGCCTATATCCTGAAAAACATGGCTTTTTTCTTTCTATTTGCTCACATTAACAGAATGTTTATGCTCAATAAAGCAGTCCATAAAGCATATTTCCAAGTTAAAAAGGCCAAGCTCTTTAAGACCTGTTGGAGTCTCTACAGAATCTTATCAGACCCATGGGTGAAATTTAGTGTTGCTTGAGGAAAAATGGTGTTCATTTTAAGCAAAAAAGTCCACGTTACTGAAAGGTGTATCTCAGTTTTCCTGAACTGTGAAGTTTCTCAAGGAAATCAACTTGGCAATAGAACTTATTTTTGAGAACACAAAGCAATCTACTTTGTTGAAATTGCTTTAAGAGAAAAAAGAAATCCAGAAAGTTGTCTGTCTTTCTGTCTTATGGTTGCTGTACGATATCACCAGTACAGCATCTACCGCAGTAGCTCACACAGTTCCTTTCTTCCCTTAGGAAGTTGTTTACAGATAAGAGTATTTATGTATTTATATATCTATACTTATGAAAATTTAACTTCAACTTTATGACTGTCAAAATTTCATCAATGGACAGACTACATAAATCTCTCTTTGAGCCTGAAGAAGATATTGCAGGAAAGCATTGATACAAATACAATATATAATTACTACCTTTCTCTAGAAACTTTCACAAGGTTCCTTAACAGGCTTGTTTGCATATGTTACTTGAAGCATAACATTTGCCTGTCCATTTCTCTAAATTTTAGTTCTTGTTGAATTCTTGTACAGCAGGTTTTCTGTAGCAAAATGACAGAGACAGGAATTATGCTAATAATTGAATAATGTGTCTAAAAGAAAAAATTACTGTTAAAAATATTTTTTTTTCATTTGAAATACAATTCATACCAAAACAAGTCTATAAAATAAGTCAGAAGTCTACGGAATTAGTCACAGTGGGTTTGGACCATGAAAATCAAACCATTAAACTACATCATTAAACAGAAATTCCTTTATAGTTTGTTTTGTTTTGTTTGTTTTAAATAAAAATCAGTGGGGTAAATTATCAAACATTGTTTTTTAGAATAGCTGTAAGTCAATGCCATCCTCCTTGGCAAAACCAGCAGGTACGCTCAGTAGCTGACAGAAAACCTGGGAAGGCATTAAGGTAAGCAAAATCATCTTGCATTACAAAGTCCTAATTATCAGAAAAACAACTGAGCAACAAAGTATGATATGGACTACATCCTCTGAAATAAGACCCCAAGCAATTTGACTGGAATTTCTTGTAATCAGGGAAAAACAGTGCTTTCTGCTTTATATTTCTGTGCAAGAAACTGCAGCGTGCATTGTGGTATGCTTCATTTGCTGGCTCTTTGACACACTTAAGTATAGGTCATCAATACATGCCAGAATGACACACTTCTCATTATTATCCTGATTGAAAAGCATGTCTTCATATAAGTACTATCAATGTGTCATCACAGCTGGGACATGGATTACCTGGATGTTAAACAGTCTCCAGGGCTGCGTTCACAGAAGCTAATGAACATACTGTTTTAAAATAAAAGAAAATGATGGGGTACAGTGACATGTGAATATGAAGGACAGAAAAAACTTTCCAAGATGGCAAATTTCATGTGGTCTCAATTCATTTTTTTGCATTTCAGCTTCAGTGGCCCAGCCTGCCATTGATCAATTATACCTTCAGATATTAGCTCCTTAAGGCAGATGGCAGAAGAGCAAAGCAAAGTCTTGCCCCACATAACATGTGGTTTATTCAGACAGGTGCAATATAAGGACAAGTGTTTTACCCTATGATCAGTGAGATCAACAGAGCAAAACTCTTAGAAACAATGAGCTAAAATGAGAAAGCTGAAGCAAAAAAGGTGGGTGGTATGAGGAAATTGTTGGTCTGTGAGTAGATATGAAAGAGAGAAGCTGTTGTGAGCAATATGGAGACAAGTTAGGAGCTTGTAAGGATGACGATTCTGTAATACAACAACTAACAAAAGAGAAAGAGTTTATGGGGGAGGGAGAAGGAATTCCAGTTTCTCAGTCACGAGACTAGTAAACACTGCCTCATACACTACATTACACACATGCTTTTGAAAGGGCATGTTTCCCTGTTAGACATGAAGAGACCTGTCATAGGAAAAGAGATGCTTAAATGTGATTAGAAGAAGAGGTAGTTATTTTATCTTTTACTCATCTGGTCTGTTTGGTTTTGGTATGAAGTGGGTCAGCAAAAGCCTGCAATCCAATTTTTAGAGCTAGATTTTTAATTTGTGATACTTGTCTATACTGGTAAGCTTACAATGCCCTATTTACCGTGTGGTTTTACTAAACCACACTGAAATGTAGAGATGTTATGTTTGTCTTAAATACAGACACTGCATTTTTTTTAGTTAGTTCCCATGTAGGTAAAGTTCTTCAATGGACCAAATTGGCAAGTCATTCTCAAGAATTTTCTTTGTCTTTCAAGCTTGGGAAATAATTTAGCTCTAACTGTAAAAGATTAACCAACTTGATCAAATAAAGCAGTGGCTGGTAAAATTAAATGCTTGCTTTCTGACTAGTTTTGTCATTAGTCCTTTTTTTTTTTTGGCATGAAAGGGGTTTTTTTTATAGACAAGACATCCATATAATAACCTCTCAGCAAAGGCAATAAACCTGCTTGGGTTTCTCTGATAAACCCACAAAGTTCCCCAAACACACGCATCAAACCCATAAAAGGCTGAATTTTTCTTACCACATGGGAAGGTTTCTGCACACGAGTTGTTTTCAGTTTGAGTTCTTTCCCATGTGGGGACAGTTGCAAAATTGCTATCTTGCAACCTACTCCTTCTTCAGCCTCTTCACCTCCCCTGCTGGTAGTCCAGGCTCAAAGCACAGATGAGTTATCACAGATAGTCTCTGAAGCAGTTTGTATATTTGGCAGTAGAACTGGACCACAACAAATATTCTCCATTCTCATATTTCCTGAACATAACAATTAGGTCTTTAGAGAAGAGGACTACTGAGTGTCAGAGCTGTGATACAACCAGTGACTACCAGCTGTCTCACTGCTATGGTTGTACACCATTTCTTACTTAAAGGTCAGCTCTTCAACTTGCTTCTACATCTCACACGCACAGCTCCTCCCATCCCACTGCTTTAGTCAGAGCTGCCATTTTACTGGTATATTCATGTTGAAGCTGTTGATACCCACAGCTCTGGTAATGCCTAAGATAAGCTTAATTGCTAATGGTTTTATAGCTCATGCATGGCAACTGCAATTTTTAGAGGAAAGAAGTGTAAATGAACAACTGTACTCAGAGACTCCACCTGACATGAGTCAAAGGGACACCCAGCAGATTCTCCTGTGCATGCAGGAACCCAACAGCCTTCCAGGTTTCACATGAGGGTTTCTAGGACATGCAGTAAATTTTGCTGAAATAGTACAGTTGATGGCAAGTTCTTGCAGGATTGCATACAAAGGAAGACAGAGAAAGCAGGGATGTGTGAAGGTACAATGAGAGAGTGATTCACAATAGGAAGACATACCAGTCATGCATTTTCCTCTTCTGAGCAGATCCCAACAGTAATTGAATCCTTGTGTTTCTATCCGTGTCCCTCCATTGACTTAGAGGGGATGAGGTTATTTGGTTATTTATGTTCCCAAAGTCATGCTTACCAGAATAATAGAAAGTGCCTTTCTATTATTTCTAGGCCACTTTCTGATCTCCTTCAACTCTCCCACAAGACAGACCTGGGATTACAGGACACCACCCCACGACCAGAAGTGTCTTAACTACTCATCCTGCTTCTGCTGTAGAAGTTTGCATCTAACTGACCTCAACACCTTAGATTTTGGGTTCCTCATCCTATGCAGTCCTAACTCCAGGAGTGTTTAAAACTTTTGATCTCCTACAAACACAGTTTCTTTCTTCTAAAAAAAAAAAAAAAAATACACACACCAAGAAGCCCATAAAAAAACCAAACAAAAACAGTATAGCTGACATTTTTCTTCTTTAGTAACAGAAGGTGAGAATCTTGTCAACAAGGTTCTGAAGTAACAGATGACCACCCATCAGACTACAGAGGGGTCTTTATTGCACCCAGGCTGGAATTAGCCCAAAGATACTACTTGGGGCTTACAATGAACAACAGCACTGCTGAGTGCCATGATGATCACACTCTGGATAAATATTTGTTTCCATTTGTGTACAGCGTTGTGATGATGATCAGTGTCCCCATCAACTGCATATCCCTCTATTCATCTTGCATTCAGGTGAGGAAAAAGAATGAGTCAGCAGTCTACATCTTTAGCCTATCCCTAGCTGATCTTTTGTACTCTTTGATTCTACCTCTGTGGATTAATTATGCCTGGAATGGAGATGACTGGAGACTCTCTGCCTCACTTTGTCAGGTTTCTGCCTTCCTTATGTATATGAATTTCTACACCAGCACCGCGTTCCTTGCTTGCATCTCTGTTGACAGGTACCTGGCATTAGTTCATCCCTTGAAGCTCCAGCACTTGCGCACAAGAAGATTTTCGCTGATTGTCAGCTTAACTGTTTGGCTTCTGGAAAGCATCCTGAATTCAGTCATATTGGTGTACAAAGAAGTATTCAGTGATCCTTGCAATTTCACTAATCATACATTATGTTATGATACATACCCCCTGGAAGGGTGGCAGGCACGGATAAATTTATTTCGGATATGCTCAGGGTACTTGGTCCCTTTGATAATCATTGTGTTTTGCTACCATAAAATCTACCAAGTAGTGAAGTGTAACCAAGCCACACTAGATGAAGAAAAGAAAAAAGTGAGGAAACTTATTCTGAATATCACAGTTAGTTTCATTGTTTGCTTCACTCCATATCACATTATATTGCTTATTCGCAGCATCAGAGAACCTTCCACCACTGACCCACACCTTTTGCTGCCGATGTATAAGGTTTACAGAATCACACAGGCCTTAACAAGTTTGAATTGCATTGCGGACCCCATTCTTTACTGCTTTTTGAGTGAAACTGCACAAACACACATTCTGAATGTGCTGAGGTGCTGCTTGTGCCTACGAAAGCGTGAGGAAGACCGAGTGAAAGACCATGCTCTGTGCAGTTCTGCTACAAAAAGCAGTGCCCTGATCACCTACAGAACTTCCTGTGAAATGGAGATGTCAAAAAAGCCTGAGTGAGCACATTCAAAGCAAAATTGGATGACCTAAAGGGAAAAGAAAGAAAAATTCTTCTCCAGTCTGTACCTAGGAAATACCCCAAAAGTTAGAGATGCCAATCTAAAAAAAACCAGTAGCTGGAGGCAATAAGAACTTACTATAGGATCAATGAAATCAATGGAGCATGAACACGTATCTTTAAATCAGGTATGGTACATAAATCAAGGACAACAAACACATGCACAGTCAAGAAGAATGACCGTGACATGACAGAATTACTGAGGATTCCCCACAGAACTGCCTTCTATTGCAGCTTGCTAGCTAGCCCACAAGATGGGCATTCATGTACTCAGCTGGAGGAAGGCTGAAGTCGTCCTTGTCCTGATTGACAAAGGAGCAGACAGAGGGAGTGTTGTAAATTTCTCTCTAAATTCATGGTATAATTTAGGCTGCTGTGATGGTTCCTGTGTTTCAGTGAAGACTCAAATTGTTCTTCAGCATACACCTGAGATCACCCATTTCTTAAAATTTTTACTTCATGTGCAGGGGTACTTACCTGCTCTTAAGCTTTTCAGCTTTTGTTTCCTTTGAAATATACATGTTCTAATGAATAACCATATTTTATGCAGTTTCATTACAATATCAATATTGGGATTCAGATAGTGGAAGATTCATTACTTTAAGTGCTTATAAAGAACCAATTCTAGCCACTACTGTTTTAACTCAAAATAAACTTTTCCTGATATATGAAGGGAGGAAGAAAAAGGTTGAAAAGTGAGGTTTCACATCTCCACAACATAAATGACCAGCCTTTAGACTTGCTTATTATGACTGAAATCTGGACTGTGGTTACATTTTCAGAGTCAATAGAGCAAGGTTTATATCCTTTTACTTAACTACACCTGGAAGCCTCAGCTAGAGATTCCAGGGCTCTCAGTTTGCTGATTTTAAAAAAATTGAACAAACCAACCAGTAAAACTGACAAACCAGCAAAGAACATGAATGTACCAACACTCCTCTCACTACCTTTTACTTTTGTTCAATTGCCAGGAAGAATATTTGGTAATGGTAGTTTTTCAGTTTCATAGGGAAAGAATTTTTCTTTCCATCAAAAAAAAATTCTCCTCTAGCAAATCTGTGTGGTGGAAAGATTTTGATCATCACTTTTCAGCACACTTCTAGGTCTGACATATATGGAGGATGTGCATACAGTGGTCACAAGCAGTAAGAAATTTCTTATGAGAACATCAATCTGTGTGTAAATTAAAATTTTCTCCATTACAAAGAGCACTTCCATAGTTTTCATGAGTTGCTGTTTGTGTCTATTTATACTTTCAATTAATTTCACGTTCTGAAATGGGAACTTAGAGGTTGTGAAAGCTGAGCTTGTTCAGCCTGGAGAAAAGAAGACATTGGGGGACCTAATGGCAGCCTTGCAATCCTGCAAAGAGGGTATTGAGAAGATGGAGCCAAGCTCTTCACAAGAGCTCATAGAAGGAGGGACAAGAAATCATGTGCATAACCTGAAGCAAGAAGGGTAAGAGTTGATTTAAGGAAGAACTTTTGAACTATGAGGGCTGACAAACAGTGGAGCAGGTTGCACCAAGGTGTTCTGTGTGCTCCATCCTGAGAAGTTTCTAGGACCCACCTGAACAAAGCTTTGAGCAATTTGGTCTGGCCTTGTAGCTGACCTTCCCTTGAGCAGAAGGTTGGACTAAAGAATTCCTGAGGTCTCTTCCAACCACAATTGTCCTGTGATCCTATGAACTGTGTATGTCACTGTTCTGGCTGTTGCCTTCCTCTCTAGAAAAATATGTTCCCTTCTCTTTTTTGTTTCCATTTGCTGGATTTTGTTTTGGTGTGTTTTTTCTTTTTCTCCTGTAGTTCCTTCTTATATATTATGAGGGGAAAATTATGCAAGGAGTAGTGCAAGTTACTTCACCACAGATTTGTCCTTATGCTGACCTATGCATTTTGCAACAGAATGTGAAATTTCACTGTAGCACTGGAATAAAAGCAGAACCAAACCTCACTGTAACTTCACGGAAAGAAGAACTCAGTGATTCACTTTTAGATCTGTCACATGCTGGAAAATTTGGAAAGTTAATTCTATTTGCACTTTAAAGAATTTAAGAATTAATTTACAGAATAAAGAATAATGAAAACTAAAGCTAAGCAACAAAACTGAGTGCAATTTAACTTGTGTGTCAGGGAATAGGGAGAGCTGGCTGCTCTGCATGGGGCAGTGGGCCAGGAGCTGAGGGTACAGCCAGGCAGACTTGGCAGCATCATCACTGACAAGCTACACAGTCCTATGGCACCCCAGCGAGGCACATGGAGCAGGTCTGGTGACAGTAACCAGTATTGGCCAACTGTCCGTGATCACCAGACAAATCTGTAGTGATGAGGCAGATCTGAGGTCAAGTTGGGAAGCCAAGTCAGGAAGGCAAGGTTGGGATCAGCGAGGTACAAGACTGGGCATGGCAGCACCATGTCAGCACTGGCCTGTGCACAGGTAGTCAATCCCCAAGGTGGTAGGAGAAGAGACCACAGACTCTGTTGGTAAACTTAGGGTCTTGACCCTATGCAAAAAACTTAATTTCCACAAAATTTGATCTTGAGATTTTATATTTTTTTAATATTCCACCAAAGCTCCTGAAAGCCATAGCTTGGACCAACCTATATTGGTATGTGTGGATATTTTTCATAGCATTATTTCCTATAGTACCTCCCTGCATTGCTGAAGATTCACTTCAGGATAAAGGAAAATAATGACAGTGGCTGGCCCATAGGCTGGGCTTCACGAAAAACTCATATAAGTCCAGGGTCCTATCCCTTTATGATAATAAAATGTAGGTACCTAATTCCTTCGATTGCTCCAAAATGCTCAATCTGTGTGTTCAAATCACAATCCTCTGGAGAAATGAGGAAACTTCTAGATGTAGAGACTACAGTGTCCTGTACTTCAATCATTTGTGTATTTACTTCATTATTCTTACATAGCTAAAAATTTACACTTCTTTTCATTCTTTCTCCAAATTTCGTTGACCCAGTTGGACCAAACTTACTATATGAAAGTGAACACTTATGTTCTGTTTAAAATTGCAGTGTTACAGGAAGCATAGGACATGGTAAATGTCATCCAGGCTCCAATCCATGCTATGTATTATTGTTATTGAATACTCCACTTAGAATTCCTAATGGCTCTATAGGCAAATCCACAGGAACTGTTCCCAAAGCAAGGACATTCCTTACAGAAAAGAGTTTATGAAATTCAAATGTCTATTTAATGGCAAGAAGAAAGGCATGCATTCAAATTCCATTTTCACCACAGACAATGCCTAAAAACATTAGTGTATGGTCTCAGTGAGTCACTGTAGTTCCTATCTCACTTCAAATCTGTATGATAAGAATATGGATAATTAAAAGGGCTGTGATGGTAATTTAATTAATATCCACAGGCTATGAAATGTCAGTGCCAAATGATACTGCTATCAGTTTGATACAGCAGAGGTGAATTTGTCTATCAATAATTCACTTAAAGCAGAATCCATCTGCCAAATGTCCAGCAAATATATAGCTCAGCTTCATAGGTTGGGGGATTTTCAGTGAACTGTGGTGACCTAGCTGGTGGAATTTCAGACTTCATTTAATCTGTTTTCTTTAGAATCATAAAATCATTAAGGTTGGAAAAGACCTTTAAGATCATCTAGTCCAACCATTAGCCACAACTTGCATCACCCCAGATCATTATTCCTTTCTGACATAGCTAAACATAAGCTTCACTTTGTTAATGTCATTGCAGTCAGTCCTGACTCACATGATTGTAGGCTAACAGACACCTGGCTACCCTTTTCCTTTTTTGGTTTATTTTTGAGCCTCTAACACATCTAACTTCAGAATAACTGAAAAAAGTGAAAGGAAGTGTGAATTTGAGTTATAAGATTAATATATTCCACTTCCTGTTTCCATTCACAGAGAATGACGCTACTGAAAGCACTCTGGTAAGTCTGGTGACAGTCTTCAGCAGTGTCACTCTTGGGCCGCTTTCCATATTAATTACCAATTTCATCAGTGTCACTATCAGTCAAGTTCTCTAAGGTGGTAAGGGACCAAACTATTTGTTTTCTCGCACCTCCACACAGCACAGAGGGAGAACATGGGTGGGAGTATAAGGGGGCTTGGAACCGGCACAACCTCAGAGGCAGAAAATCTGCTTGCACAGAGCAAGGCTGCAGGGAAGGAAAGCGAAGAAGGGCTTTGAGCTCAGCAGGAGCTGGGACAGCCTGTGCACCCATAGGCCAGTGCTGACAGTTGCCAGGGTTTTCCTTCTGCATGAGACAGCAGCTCCTGCTGGTCCCTGAGCCCTGCAAGATGTCAGCTTACCACTGCCCAAGGCCACCAACTCCTTTGCACCTCCGGGGTCCCCAGTGCTGCTGATCTAAGGTAGTGTCTGATAAGTGATCCTCTGGTAAGGGGAAAGAGAGTGAAACACATTGTGCATATCATAAAGGTTTTTCTTTTTGGCTGTGTTACTGTCAAATTGCTAGCCTAAGCTGACTCAGGAAAGTTTTGGCTGTTCAGCTGTAATTAAAAGTAACAAAGATAATTCACATAAATTCCATTCTGGACTGTGACTTTGGAGAAAAAAACAACAAACCAAACCAAAAAAAACCACCACCACCAAAAACCAAACAGAAAACACTAAGGAAAAAACTGTATCAAATGATATGTAAAAAGCCTGATCCAAGTGAATTACAAAGACACGGCACAAGATAGAGTCAGATTCTTATCTATGCCAAACCAGAGGCATTGTCAGCAGTGTATCACCTACAGCCTCTATCCAGCTTGGGTACAGTAGAATGTGTATCCCATAGCATCTCTCACTGAACATCAGAGTGTACACATCATATCACTAATGTAGGATGGGAATGCTAAAACAGTGGGAGGTGCAAAAAAAAGTAGGAAAATAGGTCAATCCCTTTTTTGTTCTGTTTTCCAAATTAACTTTGAATATTTTG